AAGTGAATGCTTATTGATTAGTGCTGATGGTTACATGCAGTCCCTCTCCCCCTATGGTTCTGTCAGTAAATTTTTTAGTGGGCTGGCCAGCAGCCTGGCTCGTCCTGGCTTGCGCCGAGTCCAAGGAAGCTACCCTTGCTGCAGCTCTGCATGAAAAGTAATTTAGGAGCCGGTGGGCAGGCAGCCTGGCTCAGTCCTGGCTGGGGGTGGGTCCTGAGACCTACTCCTGCTGCGGCTCTGCAATATCTCTTAGTGCTGCCTACTTGCCAGCTCCTAAAATACTCTCAGTGCAGAGCTGCAGTGGGGAGAGCTCCCAGGAGCTGGCGTGAGCTGGGACTGAGTGAGGCTGGCTGCCTGTTGGCTCCTAAATTACTTTTCATGCAGAACTACAGTGGTAGTAGCTCCCAGGACCTGGTATGAACTAGGACTGAGCCAAGCTGCCTGCCCGCCTGCTTCTTAAATACTCTTAGTGCAGATCCACAGCAGGTGTAGTTTCCGGACCTGGCACAAGCCGGGACTGAGTGCTTGCAGTGCTAACCTTTACCAATTAACTGTGTAGTTGACAACATTTTTGTCAATTACACAATTGAGGAATGACACACTTCTTAATACCTCTGATGGAAACAGGGCTGCCTCAGAGTTCTGAATCTAGTTACACACCAATTTTGTGCACATGTGCCTGTTACAACCATATGTCACATTTCATTAAATCCCAAATGGGAGTCTTGGGCTTTTAAAGTCAGGTGCCGAAATCCCACCTAAATTTATTCTGGCTCCTAAATAAAAGAGGCAAGATTGTCAGAGGTGCTGAGTACCTGCAGCTGCATATGTGGATTGAGAGGTTGAGCTTTTCCTGGACATTTTCCAGGAAATTTTCCATCCTGACCCTATTCACATTGAAGTTAGGGCAAGTTTCACCCTTGATTCATGGTGGGAGCAGGGCTGGGACAAATACTAGGGACTACAAACCTAGGGGACTAAGTGCATGGGGAAATTGACTGGAAAAGTTCCCCATGTGAATGCTCTTCTAGACTAAAAATTATTTTAGTCCAGAACAATTATTCTTAGGAAGAGAATTCAATTAAACTGAAGAAGGCCTCTTTCATTCCAAACAAATAGCCTCCACTCAGGGGTGTAATCTGAATTAAAAACACATCTTTAGTTAATCTGAATTAACTGTTCTAGGGCCTGTTCTAAGGCCCTAGTTCTGTATGTTGCTGTGCATCTGTAGACTTCCAAAAGTGACCAGTGGTTTGGAAGACCCACCCTCTGAGTAAACTTGGAAGGATTAGATTTGTATTCATGAACGCTGATAAATGTCAGTTTCCCCACATGCACTATAAATGATCAAAGAAATATTTCTGTAGGTGGGAATCGAAATTTACAATTTGGTGAAGGAAGAATGATGCTCTTCAAGAGCTCATTTTGGCTGGGTTTGAGGACAGTTCATGTGTGTATTTTCAGGTGTGAGGTCGATGATTTGTAAATTGATGGTTGTAAAGTTTTAATATTTTGAATCGCAGCATTACTTTCCTTAAATCAGTGGTCACCAGACTCTAACCTGCTACTCCTCTTTGCCTCTCACTTTCAGGAGTGGGGCTGGGGCGGATGGGAGGGTGCGGACAGCGATAAGGTGGCCGAGGCTGAGGCCGCAATAAAAGGTAGGTTGGGGGGGGAGGTCTGGCAACGGAGCTGGGGCGGGGGATAGGGCTGAAGTGGAGTTGGGTGGCACTCCTTCGCCATCCTCCATGGGTGCTGGCTGAGACCCTGCCACTTCCCTGAATGTTTCTCTGCGCTGGGGGGGGGGGGGCATGCCACAGAGGGGACCTTTGTCTTAATTATTACCTGATTGTCCCAAGCATTTCCCTCAACAACAGGGAAAATTTTAAAAAATTACCTACAAAAGCCCAAATAAATCTGTTATTCTTCAAGGAGTCATAGGACTCCTAGTTTTGTGTTTTTTTTTTTTTTTTTTTTTTTTTTGCAGATACAGACTAACACGGCTGCCCCTCTGAGCCTTAAACTGATATCCATCAAAATGATAAAAGAACTAACAAAACTCAGTTCTGCCAAGTCTATCTATGGGGAAAGCTTTCAAGAACTGGGCAAGTTTAGTTTAGAGAAGAAAGGGGAGGTGTGGGAAATGACATAATGGTATTTAAATACATAATAGGGTGTTGTATAAAGAAGACTATGAACAGTGGTTCTCCTTGTCCATTGAAGACAGGATAAGAAGCAATGGGCTTAATGTGCAGCAAGGGAGATTTGGGTTAGATAGCAGGAAAGTTTTTCTAACTACGCATAATTGAGCACTGGACAAGCCTCCCAATGGAGGCTGTAGCATCCCCATCACTGGAGGTTTTTAAGAACAGATTGGACAGTCAGAGATGGTCTAAATTTATGTGGCTTTGTGATTGTGTTTTCCAGCCTTTCATTTCTGTGACTTGTTGGGGCTCGGGAGTAGCTTGCAGGATTGGGACTGGCTCTCGCAAATGCAAGGTTTAATGTAAAGCTGGCTTTTTTAGGGAGGGAAATGGAATGTAAACTCAGCCTTTCTAACCATTGTTTCTCCACCCATTCCTCGCTGTGTATTTTTGCCTTCCAGATCCTCATATTTCTGCTGAGTGTGAAATTGACAACCTGGGGGAATGGTGGTGTGAAACTGACTAGCCAGGTCTGCCTAGAAACCACAGTCTCCCTTTATGCAAGGCCTGAACTCATATCTGCTGCTGTGTATTATTTTGAGAAGAGTAACCATAAATATCTGTTTTGCCCTAAAAGCCCCAGTAATGGTGATTTTCCACAGCTGCATGGGGTCAGTAGCATGGCCCTAGGGAATGAAGACATACCAGAGCACAGCTGTCTGCCCTTTGGTGAAATGATAGGCTCCTTGGAGTAAATATAGCATTTAGCCGGAGGAGGTTGGGGTAGATTTCATGTGTGTAGCTCAGCTGCTTGAAATCCGCCGGCAGCTGGGAGAATGATGAAGATGTGAATTGACCTGGGGAGGCCTCACTTTGGAAACACACATAAAAGCTTGTCAGCTCATGGAAGTGAATTTGGACGAAAGGAGGGTGCAAATCTAAAGCACTCTAGCTATTCCTGACAGAGAGGCTTTGTGCAGCAGCTATTCTCAATTTCCCTATGTAAATAAGCTCTAACAGATACGTATGACTCCGTGCCTAGACATCTTTCCGGGTTAGCACTGGCTTTTCTGTAACCTGAGCAGTACTTGATGGATGCCATCGTGCTGCAGGTAAAATGCAGGAAGTCATACCAAAAGTTATTCTTCATGCATGTCAAATTATGTTACGAGAAGAGTCTGTTTCCCGGTTCTTCGCTCCTGATGTCAGTCATTTTAGCCAGAGTAGGTCAGGAATGGCAACACTGGGAAGGAAACCAGTAACTTAGTGCAAATCTGCATTAGGATGATGACTCTGAGCCAATCACATGCTTCAGGGTTCCAGCCGAGGTTGCCTGCAGGGGTCAGGAAGGAATTTGCCCCCTGATGAGAAATTGGCATATGGGAGGGGGAACCACTTTCCTCTGAAACATCAGAGGTTAGACAGAACTGAAGATGGGACAGTGGGCATGGTGGGCCAGGACTTGGATGCTGTGCAGCCGGACTGGTGCATCTGATTGTCTCTTGGCATTAAACTCTATCTGGACAGGAGACAGGATAGTAAGGAGGCCTGCCTCTGCCCCGACCTACTGTGTATCTGTGGGCAAATCGTTCCCATGTCCCTTTCCTTAGTTTCCCCTTCTCTGTTCATTTTGATAGAGATAGTCCCTATCCCAAAAAGCTTACAAAGTGTTTGTGTGGCACCAGGAGCAGTGGGGGCCCAATCTCAGCTGGGGCCTACCAAGGCTTCTGCATTACTGCAAAAAATAAGAGCATCAGTCCCTCAAAACTCCAGTTGAGAGGAATTGTTTCATTTTACATAATTAAAGGCCAGCTGATGGTTGGGAACTGCTGCTCTCCAGCCGAGTCTGGCTCCCTAGCCAGTGAAGCTGCATCTGTATAAAGTCAGTGAGGGAAAGAAATAGAACTGGGCTTGTTTCATTGAAGGTTGGAATGAACTATTATCTAATCTGACGTGTCTAGCGCAGGCCAATCCGTTTCCCTAGCACTCAAGGGAAGTGTTGTTTGACCCTTTCACACCGTACAAACAACAGGGTTCACCTGGCGCCATGCCAAGACAGTAAGTTAAGTATAAAGAAGACAAGTGTGTTTTGCACAGCTAATCTGTGGAATTTACTGTCAGGGATGTGGCAAAGACCAAAAATATAACTGGGTTCCTAAAAAGTTCATGGTTCATTCGTGGTCAGGGACACAATCCTACACTTGTGGCAAGCCTAAAACCTCCCACTACCAGGAGCTGGAAGTGGTAGGTGGGGTGGATAATTGCCCTATTCTGTATGCTCCCCCAGAATGGTAGCATAGGCTGTCGGAGATGGGATACTGGGTTACATGTAGTGAGGCCTGACATCATCTGGCAGCTTTTATGTTCTTTTGACTTCAAGATTGTGGGGGAGAGAATTAACGGGGAGAGTTCCCTCAGTTCAGAGAGTTCCCTCTTTCGCCTGCCATTCACCTCAGAGGTGCCTGACAGCCATCCTCAGTGTGGTGGCTTCAAGCGGCTGCAAAGCGCAATGAGCCAGGCTCTGAGCCGAGTTCCTTGGGGGCTTGTAATCTGTGCCCGGCAACCGTAGCCGGCGTGGAGAACAGATGGCAGCTCCGGGCCTGCGGGACGGAACGGCTGTAGGCAGGTCTCTTGGCTTATTAGCATGTGGTCCCGTCTGCTCAGAGGCGAGGATCCTTGGCAGAGCTGCACTGGATGGATTGGGGCGGGGGGGGGAGAGGGGAGGGAGAAGTTTTCTTTGGCTTGTGAGCCAGATGCACAGAATCTCAGGTCCTGCAGCCTGTTCTCAGGTGCTGAGCCAACACCTCATTCCTTATTGATTTGTTTTCTTCTTTCCTTGGCCCCTTGGCTCTGTAGACGAAGAAGATGGGGATCTCAGGAGCCTGGAAAGTGCCCTGGGCGTCAAGAAGAAGAAAAGAGGTCCCCGTAAGCAAAAGGAAAACAAGCCAGGGAAGCCCCGGAAGCGCAAAAAATTAGTAAGCCAATCGCGGTTGTGAACTCATTGAGCATGGGGCAGCTAGCCAGGGAGGCTGGGTAGGGAAGTGTAAAAGGGGTGTGTGTGATCTCAGATGGGAAAGATCCGTGGAGTGTGTATGTGTCTGTGCAGCACCTGGCGTCACAGTGGGGTGGGTTGATCTCAGATGGGGAGGGGAATCTGTGCCAGGACATGTCCCTTTTCAAACTCTCTGGGTGCCAGGGATCAATCCTGCTGCCTTAATGCATGTGGTATCAGTGTTGATACTTGGTGGCATTGTGCTGGTGGCTTGCAGAGCTGCGTTTATTGTCCCTGTGAGTAGCTGGTCCGTCTCCCCAGCCTGGGAATGCTCATACACTGCACTCGGAGTCTGTTTGGCTTCTTTATTTGGAGTACGCTGCCAGCCTCCCAAATAAAACTGTTCAACCCAAAGAGGTGATGTGGCCTAATGGATAGAGCACTGACATGGGGCTAAGGGCTCCTGAGTCCTAATTCCAGCTCTGGCACTGGGTGATCTGAAGCAAATCCCTCCCACCTGCCCCTCCCCTCCCCCCGCCGTGTGTCAGTTTCAACATCTGCAGAATGCATTTCATAAAAGATGGGGAATTATTATTATAAAACCAAACTGCTTCTATGGCAGATTGCGAGGAGCAGAAACAGTGTTTCCCCAGGCCTTCTACCTGGCAATCCCAGTGTGCAGCAGCAGGCCTGCTGTCCCTAGCTCCCGCCCAGCACCCCAGAGTTCTCAGTCTTCATAGGAGTTAGTTGCTTCTCAGGAGAGCTGCAGATAAATTTTCTGACTCTCCAAGTGTTTGCTGAAGCCAGAGGAGCTTTTGACAGATCTTCTGACTCAAAATATTTTTTTTAGGGGTGGAATGAATATCCAGTAAAGATTTCCCCCCAAATTATCCTAGTCAGTTTGACTGGAACCGCCAGACAAACCCCTCCCCCCAAATTGTCCCACCGGGTTCAACCAGAATTGACATCTGCCCTGTCCCCCCCAGAAACCAACAGGTCATTTGCTCCCCAGTTAGCTCTCCCTTTGACTTTTCCCCCTTAGGTGAGTGAAGATGAGTTTGAGTCGGAGCGGGAGGAGTTCCGGGAGAAGTCGGAGAGCGGTGGCAGCGACTATGGAGGGGTGGCCAAGAAGAAGCGGCGGAAGCACCGGGAGAAGAAGGAGAAGAAGACCAAACGCCGGAAAAAGGTGGATGATGAAGCAGGCCAGAAAGTAAAGGTACAGAGCCTGGGACGGAGGGCCACGTGCTGCCAGGCCCATGGCCATGTCAGCGCAGGCAGGGAGATCCGCCACCCCTTGCTTTGTGCTGCGGACTGAGCTGTCCAGGGTGATAATCCTCTGGTGGCTCTCTGCATTTGTAGGGGAAATAATCACCTGGACAGCCCGCTCCCTTGGATTGGGGCAGCATTGCATGGTGAGTGCCAGTGGATTGGAACCAATAATTCCATAGAGCGTAAAGCCAGATGGGGCCCCCAGGTTGTCTACTTTCACCTCCTGTCTAGTGCAGGCCAGTTGCTTCCAGCTAGTTACCCCTGTGCCAAGGCCAAAGGCCTCACCATCTCAGGACACTAACCCAGCAAGGAATGGGGGAGACCGCCTTGTCAGTCCCTAACTTCCATCAGTGCCCCACACTGTTGGTTTGGGGCGGGGGATTCCTTCCCAACCCCAAACCTGATGATCAGTTGGCCCTTGCATGAACAAGATGCATCAGCCCGGCAGCTAGAGAGAGGGATTCCCGGGGGCCTAGCGGAAGAGCTTAGCAGTTTTGGATTTCCACGAGCACCGTGTTGAAGCTTGCCTCAGCTCTTTGCTAGCCCGCACATGCAATTAACTGAAGCAGCGAACCATGGAGTTGTGGGCAATTGTACAGTGCAGTTTAGCTCGGCATGTTCTAAAAGCAGCTTAGATGCTGTCAAAGGCCAGTTTGCTAGCAAACTTGTGCCTCAAAATTCCTGTACTTTTTTTGGCTGATGTTTGGAAAGGGTACAAGGGACATCAGGAGTTAGGTGCATAAACTCTGGTATGGCCTTTGCTCTTTCACAGTGGAATTATCATAGCAGGGTCTCCCTCCTTGTTCTTTCTAAACTGAGCTCACCTCGGGACAGAAATTGCCAGTGCCTACAGCGCTTTGGGAATGCTGTTCTCTTGGAAAAAGCGCAGAAGAGAACTACAAAAACAGTTCAGGAACAAACAGATGGAGTTGGGAATCCATGGGGGGAAAAATTGCCCTCTAAAATTGTCACCAGAAAAACGTTGTAGGTTTGGGGGAGAGTTTTCCTTTTGAAACCGTATTTTTCCTTTTAAACTGAAAGACTAGACTGGCATGATTTTCTGCAAATGCTTTTAACGGAAAAGTTTTTCCATTAAAAGCATTTGTGGAAAAGAGCGTCTAGATTGGCACAGACGCTTTTGTGCAAAAGCACTTTTTGCGGAAAAGCGTCCATGCCAGTCTAGACACGGTTTTGCGCAAGAAAGCCCCGGTTGCTATTTTCACCATCGGGGCTTTTTTGCGCAAAACGGTTCTCAGCTGTCTACACTGGCCTTCTTGCGCAAAATCATTTGTGCAGGAGAGCTTTTTCCCGAACGGGAGAGTCATTGTATTTGCGGAAGAACACTGACAATCTTACATTAGATCGTCAGTGTTCTTGAGCAAATTCAAAGCGGCCAGTGTAGACAGCTGGCAAGTTTTTCCACAAAAGCAGCCGCTTTTGCGGAAAGACTTGCCAGTCTAGACACAGCCAAAATGTTTTGTTTGGAGTTTCTAATTTTAGTTTTTGGGATTTGGCTTCCCCCTGCTTGCCCCTTCATGCTTTGATTGACCTCCTCCCTGAGAAAAGTGGGATGAAACCATCCAAAACTGGGAAATGTTTGCTTTTTTCAATTTGAAGTGACTTTCTATTTTAAAATTACCTGTCCATTTACTCTGAAAATTCCAAAATGTTTAAAATAAAATGTTTGCAAACTAAAGATTTTATATTTATTTTATTTTTGGTCTGAAACAACTTTTTGTTTCAAAATTTCCTTTTCATTTTATTAAAGAAAGAAAGAAAGCTGATGGAAAAAAATCTAACATTTCATTTTAGGGAGAGCAATGCATTGCTATCAACCCAGAATAATTGGGTGGTTTTCTTTTTGGACATTGCAAGTTGTCGAGAATTTTGAAAAACTTTGCTTTTCCCTGTCATGATTTTTCTGTGCCCCGATTTTTCAAACTTGTCCTAGAACTGGAAAATTGTTAAAGGTCTCCAAGATTGTTTGTTTTAGTGTATGTGTGGCTAGTGATAGACAAAAGGCCATACTAGAAGCCTGGGTACACTTTCTGGCCTTGAACTCTATGACTTTTATTTTCCTAGCTGCTTTTTGCTGCTAATTACTGGATCCTTGGTAATTCAGTGTGGGAGATCCACTATATACCATATCTACTTGGGACATAGGAGAGTGGTAGGTCTCTCAGGACTAGAGCCCTTAGAATGCATCTGTGTCCCCCAGTAGTCCCTTTGGCCCTACCATCGGTTTCTGCTCCATGCACCAATTCAGGAAGCCTCCAACTTGGAGCAAAGTGATGTGTGTCTCCTCCCCTTTGGATATAGTATCCATCAGTGAAAGGAAACCACCCTCCTCCCCAGCTAGCTGGCTGGCTAACAGGGAGCGTTTGGCTTGGTTAGCAGGTGGAACAGAAATCCTCAGCCCAGCTGCTTATGACCTGGGGGCTGGAAGATGTGGACCATGTGTTTTCTGAGGAGGATTACCACACACTCACCAACTACAAAGCCTTCAGCCAGTTCATGAGGTAAGAGCCCAGCTGTATGTAGGGATGAGCTGTGGGGAGTTGGAGGACATGGGCTATAATCACTGCCCTCCCCACACTGATCCCTGAGCTGGGGCACCTTGGAGGGATTTTGGAGTCTTCAGATTTCCTGTTGAACTAGGCTGAAGGGCAGTCACCCTGTGCTGCTTGAGGCAGCTGCGGGGCAGGGCAGCTGGGTTCCTTTCCTGCCCCTGCCCAATCACATAACCTTGGGGGGATTCCCTCTCTTCTCTGGGCCTCCATCTCCCCTATCACCTATGGTCTGGTCTGACAGGGAGTTTTTTGTATCCCATCCAGCATCTGGCAGACTCAGGTGCTGGATCCTGCATTGGGATCTCTATGGCATGATGGGCCCCATACCTCGGGCAGGAGAGTCTGGGAAGTGCCTGGTTTGACAAGGGTCCAGTCTTGGTCAGGGGTATGTGGATTGGGTGTGATCTCGGATGGGGAGGTTGGGCAACGCCCAGCATGATGTGGACTTAGATCTTAGTATACAAGTCCCTAGAATATAAATTTAACGAGTCGTTGATGGTCTCCTTGGATCCGAGGACCATTCTGATGCTTTCCATCCACTTGCAGCTTTCAGTGCTGACATTCATGAGTTCGTTAGTGATGCCTAACGGGTGCATGGAGTTGCACTAGGGCATTCTCTGTTTCTTGCTATGGGATGCTGCCCCAGGTCTCCTGCCCTGTGGCTCGGGAGGAATAAGTGGTAAAGGCTCCCCGTTCCCTGAAGCATGCCCCCTGTGGCTGATCACATGCCTGGACCAAGCTATCTTCCCCCTGCCCTTTGGCTGCAGATGCTGTCAGCAGATACTGGATCCACTTCCTCCTCCTGCTCCTTAGTGGTCTCCGCTCCCCTATGCCAATGGCAGGGCTGGAAGCACCAGGTGTTTGGGGAGAAGGAACCCCCAGGAACATACCGATTGACTCCAGCTAGGATCTGGCCCCACTGACTCCAGTGGAGAGACGCCCATTGACACTGGCTGGGGTCTTTTCTCTTCAGACCCTTTTTCACTGTTCAGCCCTCTGTGCCAAGTCCTGGAGAGGGTCAGCCAGGAGACAAGGGCTCTGCCATGCAGTCATGACCCTGATGACGCCCCCACTACATGCCTCCCATCACGCCTGACTCAGCTGGGTGCGGTGGCCCAGACGTCCGTATGGACCTGGGCTGTGTGCCTGCTGGCGGTGTCCCAACAAGCCCAGGAGAAGGCCGCAGGGAGCAGCCAACGGAGTTGGCAGGGTTTACACTGGTGCCCTTGAGCGAGGGAGTTTGCAGCAGCCAGCTGGGGAGGGTGGGGTGAGGGGCTGGAGTCAGATCCTGGCTTGCCAGGGAGATAACTGCAGCCAAGAAGGCTTCCTGACTGCCTGGCAGGCAGTGTGCGCGGCCTACAGCTGTCCTGGCCCCAGATTGCTCAACACTGGGTCGCCGCTGTGAGAGAACACCTTCAGACCTCCCAGAAACCCAGGCTTGCGCCAAGTCTGCCTGCCTGCTAATCAAATGGAATTCCAGACCCGGAGCGACGGGAGCTGTGCTGGCTGCCAGCAGGTTCCCGGGAGGAATTGGAGGTGTCAGTAGTCACCTAATTAGCCTTTGGATTCCCCGATGGAGCTGACCTCCCCGAATAGCAGAGGCACTCAGATTGGTGCTGGCTTCTCTGTGCTTTCCATCCAGAGTCTCCTCTCTGGCTTGGCTGTCTTCCCATAAGCCTTTGGAGACAGATCTAGCCTGCCTGCTCTTTTCAGCTATGTCAGTTTGCTCCCCCCAGGCCCAGAGATTGGGGAACAGCCCTGGGATAGCAGGGGGCTCTCCTGTCTAGTGCAAAGACCTATAATGCAAACTGATGGCAGATTGTTGAAGCCAAGTGAATTCTGGCTGGTAATGAGGTATACATTTTTAACAGCAAGAGGTGTCAGTTGGTGGAACAACTTCTCTGCAGCAGGGGCGGATTCTCTGTTGTTGTCAAGACTTTTCCATCGAGACAGGATCAGGAGAACGACTCCAGTTCAGCCAGGAAAGAGTCTGTGGAAGTTCTTATGCCTGGGCTGTACGGCGGGTCTGATTAGGTGGTACCATATGGATCCCTTCAGGTCTTTGAATCTACTGTATCTGCATTTCGGAGCAACACTACCAAAACGGCTCTCCCAGCAGTCGCCTTTCACCAGTCCTGTTCAGCCATCCACATGGTGCTCGTCTTGCACCCAGAATCCTTTGCACCATGGAGGAAGGTACCTGGTCGAATCCTCTTCAGAAGAGGATCAGCTGAGATGCCAACAACTGCTGGGAACCACTCCCCACCCTTTCACTGCCACGGGTAGGAAGCTGCACATGGTGGAAGGTAGAGCGGGGTTTAATATGCAGGTCTGCTCCTCTGTGCCTCAGTTTCCCCATTTATAACTGGGGATCATAACTGTGCTTCCTCTTTGCAGAAGGTCCCTCACCTCTCAGGATGGAGAATGCTGCTGAGATTGTAAATCCCACTAATTTCCCTATAACCTGAGGCTGTAGCTGCTCTGAGAGTGCCACCTAGTGTCTGATTTGCAAATTGACTTTCGAAATGAAGGGCTGGACATAGCAAATAATTGATCCCCATCCATTTCAGGGATGTAAAATCCCATTTCATTGTTTAACTGGTTAATCATTGGGCTGAAGCAGCCCCTCTACCATAGGGCAGCCCCTGCCTGCAGTGGGCCAGGCGTCCTCCGGCCCCTTCCTGTGGGGCACCCGGGCCCACTGTGGACAGAAACTGCTCTAGCTGGGATGCCTGAGCAGCCCTTTCCTGTAGCAGGCCAGCGTGCCCTGCAGGCAGGGGCTGCTTTTGCATCCCGGCCAGAGGAGTCCCTGTCTGCAGCAGACCACCATGTGGCTGGAATAGCCCTTCCCTGCCTGCAGCAGGTGGGGAACTGCTCCAGCCCGCAGCAGGTAACCGTTCATATCCCTAGTCCTCTTTATGGCAGTTGTTTTACAGCTTTGAAGACTGCAACCATGTGCCCCCTCAGCCTTCTCTTCTCTCGACCAGTGGCTCTCAAGCAATGTGCCCTCTAATTTTTTCCATCCATGTCCGGATTTTTTCCATCCATGGATAGGATAAATTTTTATGTGCAAATGTGCACCACCAACAGAAACAAAAACCTAGTGGTAGCTGCTCTACTAATAAGGTGGGTGGCATCGGAATCTCTCCCGAGCAGCCATGCAAGCACCCAGCTTACAGGGAACGCTGTGCTCAACCTTTTCAGATGATTGTATTCCTTGCAGGAGTCTGATTTGTCTTGTGTACCCCCAAGTTTCCCTTTGATAGAAACAACTTGCTTCTCAAATCGGACATAAACGTACAAAAGTGTCACAGCCGAAGCTAAAAAATTGCCTCCTTTCCAGTTTTCATCATATTATTATATAAATCAATTGGAATATAATTACTATCCATACATTTGCGTATAGGATATATATAATAAGATAAGCAAGTCGTATGAAACTTTTGCACTGATTTTGCCATTGCTGTTTATGTATGGAGCCTTGCAAATCTGCAGATTCCTGCTTTATGTCCATGGACCATGTTTACGAATCGCAGATGGGATGCAGATACAAGTTTTATATCTGTGCACTGCTCTATTTATGTAGCTGATCCTAAAACTAGGCAGATATCTAGATGAATTGATGTACCCCTTGAAGGACCACTGCGTACTTCTAGTTGAGACCCACTGCTCTAGGCTAAATCTTCCCAGTTCTTGCAAGCGTTCCTCGCTGGTCATGTTTTCTAATGCTCTGAGGCTGTGTCTAGACTGGCAAGTTTTTCCGCAAAAGCAGCTGCTTTTGTGGAAAAATTTGCCAGCTGTCTACACTGGCCGCTTGAATTTCCGCAAGAACACTGACGATCTCATGTAAGAAATCAGTGCTTCTTGCGGAAATACTATGCTGCTCCCGTTCGGACAAAAGTCCTTTTGTGAAAAAGCTTTTGCGCAAAAGGGCCAGTGTAGAGAGCTCAGATTTGTTTTGCGCAAAAAAGCCCCAATCGCGAAAATGGCGATCAGGGCTTTTTTTGTGCAAAAGCGCGTCTAGATTGGCATGGACACTTTTCCGCAAAAAGTGCTTTTGCAGAAAAGCATCCATGCCAATCTAGACACTCTTTTCCGCAAATGCTTTTAACGGAAAACTTTTCCGTTAAAAGTATTTGCGGAAAATCATGCCAGTCTAGACGTAGCCTGAGTGTTTTTTATGTTGTTACTCTTTTGTTGTTGTTGTTGTCTCTCCAATTTGGCCACATGGCTGCTAATTTGCAGTACCCAAAATGCAGTGCTCCAAGCTCATCTGCTTTGCAGCATGGAACAATTTCTGTGTAATGATCCCTAGGGTTATTTATAAAAACGGGGTACAACCCAGAACAAATTCATGGCTGGACCATCCCTGATGGGTATTTGTCTGTTTAGGAAGGGAGTATAGATGATGTGTTTGCTACAGGTCAGATGTGTCACAAAGAGAGCACACATTACCCCTTAAAAAGAGGGGATGTTAATGGGTAACCAGGTAAATGGGTAATGCTGACTGGGTAATGGCTAACCAGTACTTGGGAGCAGCCCCCTGCCTGCAGCCCAGCTGTGAGTGGAAGACTACTCCAGCCCTGATGGCCCCTCCCCATGTGGGCTGGGAACCAGCCGCCCCCACAGGCGGTACAGTGGCAGTCCCTGCAAAGATGCTGGGAGCTGCAGTCACTTCCCCCATGAGGGAGACGGGAGCAGCCTGCAGCAGAGGCAACTTTAGCTAGACTCCAGCAGGTGGGGGCGCTCAAGGCCTGCTGGAGCGCTGCCTCCATCTCCCTTTAATTGCTTAAAAGTTAAGCACAATGTTAGCACTGCATTTAAGCAATTAAATGGGATTTTACATCCTTACTTAAAACCCAGATGTCTGGTTCTGTTCACTGTAGAAATGGTTAATGGAAGTCAGATATGGTGCCATCCTATTTATTTCCCATGAATATCCACCAAGT